TTAGGCCTAAATGCCTAAATGTCAGCGGAGTCCCTGCCTTTGAAGAACCGCCGCAGCAGATTCTGGCCGTAAACCACATCCTTACGAAAAGGGATTTCACAAAAGCTATCAATTTCCCCTGACGTGCACAAGCGACACCGTAGAGAAAAACTGAGTAAAGGAATAAGATGATAAAGAATAAAGAGGTTTGGGTCAGCTGCGCGAACGGAGAGGCGTTCCTTCCAGACGTCTTGTCCCTCCCACGGCGTGGCCTTCAGCTTCGTCTGCTGGCAGGTCCCTGTGACGTACGTGTTGGCGCGTTTGCTTGGGTCGTCGTGCTTGCTCTATATCCAAGGAGATTTACGCCTTGCATATGAGGCTGAAGCGCGATTGTACAGAGGAAAGGATAACTACCAAAAATGAAATACAGAAACATTACTGTTTGTATCAAAGACAAGACTCCTCGAGAGATTTTGCCAGTTTTGTCATTATATCTATTTTCTTATTGGCTGACCTTTGATGTTTTCTCGAATACAAATTTGATGATGATAGATTGTTTTTATTGTGAAACTGGAAAAAAAAATAAATCCTCGAAATGCGTCAGTCGATGCGAATTAGGCTCGTGCCGCCAATTTTGTCCCAAAATCAATAGCTGTCTCGTGACCTGGAAAGAAGCGTTTCAAAGGATGGAGAACCTCGTCCTTCGAATGGAAGGCTTTATTGCGCTGCCTCCAAAAACATTGACCCCAGTTCTTTTCCATTTCTACCTTTATTTTCGCGAAACAAGCGCTATCTGGCCGGTATCTCGGGGGCGCGCCCTCATCCGCATAAGGCACGCCGCACCTCGCAGATGCGCCTCTCCCTCTGGTATCCCCCCTCCCCCCTCCCCACCTCTACCCACACAGGTATCCTACCTTCGCCCCGAGGGACCTCTACTTCACAGTGACATCATCCTCCCCATATATTTTCTGGTCTGTGTTCGCTCGGCTGTTCTAGAATTGTAGTATTGTTGATGTATTTTTCAGGCGTTTTTATCACTGCGTCGTCCTACCAGCGCCTAATCTACCTCTTTTGAGCCATTCGGTAACCCGGGCACGTATGGTCGAGGCACATCCTTCCCCCAAAATAATTGTCTCGTTTTTCTCTCTCTCTCTCTCTCTCTCTCTCTCTCTCTCTCTCTCTCTCTCTCTCTCTCTCTCTCTCTCTTCTCTCTCTCTCTCTCTCTCTCTCTCTCTCTCTCTCTCTCTCTCTCTCTCTCTCTCTCTCTCTCTCTCTCTCTCTCTCTCTCTCTCTCTCTCTCTCTCTCTCTCTCTCTCTCTCTCTCTCTCTCTCTCTCTCTCTCTCACTCCTCACTCCTCACTCCTCTCTCCTCACTCCTCACCCCTCACTCTCTCTCTCTCTCTCCACACTCCTCACTCTCTCTCTCTTCACTTCTCACTCCTATATCGTCTATCGTCTCCCTTCTCTTCTCTCGCCTCTCTTTCTTTCTTTCTTTTTCTCTCTTTCCCAGTTTGCTGTCTCTCCCTGTACCTCCCCATGAAATTATCTGCCCTTCGCTCATCGTGACCTCTGACCTCTGGAGTAGACGTGGCGTTTAGCGGGCGGGCCATCTGCTACGACCCACGCCATCGCCCACGGCCAGTCCTCCCACATCCTCACGGCGGTCATGCAGATTGAGTTGGCCTTTTCCTCGTGAGAACGCGCTTCCTCTCCTCTCACGAACTATTCTCGTTTCATCCAAGGGCATTTGTTTTTAATTCTTCAGTATGTATGGAATAACATTAGCGTTGGTCATAGTTTTCCCACTATCCTTGCCGGCTTGTTTGATTCTGAAGCAGTCACACAACACGCACACAGACATGAAGGAATGTTGTTGTCCTTCAGTTGCTGTGACTCTTTTCTACGTATCTACACCTATTTATCCTTTCTTCTCGTTTTCTCCTCGTGTCTGTTTCTGTGAGATTTCTGGCACGATCTACACATAAACCAAGCTTTCATTTCTCCACGATATATGTAATTGCACGTTATATACGGAAGTTTGAAGTCCACATAGTATCCATTTAGAAGTGCGACTTTCAGCTTCTCACCCTTAGTATACCCTTTGAATTAGGGTATAAAAGGATGGTTCTCAGACCTTCGAAATGGGCCCCTAGAATCTTTTTACACCCGCAGAATCTAGCAGCTCCTTAATAGACTTGTCGCGTCTTTATTTCCGTCGAGTTTTACCAGTTTTGAAAGTATCTTCCCACGTTATTCATGGAGTATTCCCGAGTCCCCGCAGCTGAGGCCGCGTCGTGATGGTTCCGGGGTGTATGCGGCCCCTTGTTGCCACCCGTCAGAAGGTCCCCCCAAGCTCATCATCCGCAACACGGCATTCCTTGCCCATGATGCTGTTCCTGCGTGTTTGCACTTGAGTCCCCTTAACCTCCCCGGCCTTGGCGAATCATGGAAGGGTCTCGTGACTCAAAGCATTTCCTCAGCCAGTCACAAATTGGCACGCTATTTGTTCTTGTGCGAGGCAGCGCCGTCGTGGATATTTTTCACTTGATTTTATTTCTTCTTTCCTGTTATTCAGTTTTGATGATGTTTCTATTTTTCTTTAAGAGCTTTGATGAGGTGGTTTACGCCTAAAATCCGTGTGTGATCTCTGCTCCTCCCGAAATATCTAATTTTAGCTGTGGCTGCGGAGACACTTCCCTCAAGTGCCCCTCCCCCTTTTCTCGTCTCTCTCTCTCTCTCTCTCTCTCTCTCTCTCTCTCTCTCTCTCTCTCTCTCTCTCTCTCTCTTCTCTCTCTCTCTCTCTCTCTCTCTCTCTCTCTCTCTCTCTCCCTCCCTCTCTCTCCCTCTCTCTCCTTTCCTGCAATAACAGTTACTAATGTTATAGCTGGCAACATTGATATTATTATTATTATTATTAGCATTGCTGCCATGTCACTATCAGAATGAACGTTTTTTTATCATAATTATTCGTAGCATTGTCAGCTATGGCAGCAATTAATTCCTTTAATATCTATACATGAACGATAATTTTTAATTCTTATCATTTTATTGATTTTTAAGAGCCTAACAGTATGAAAAGTAACGAAAAAGTACCTCTGAAGTTGTCATATCCTCATCGGCCCGGCGCAGTGTGCCATCGTAGCAGCATGACGTCAACTGCCTGAAACGGGTTTCCCTCCGCACGCCGACCTTTGACTCAATGGGTTTTGGGCAGTAAAGGCTTAGTAGGCGTGGGCGGGGGAGCCATGCGAGGGGGCTGATGTCATAGGGGCCGGGTTTTATGGCCTTTTTTTCTCCCTTTCTTTCTTTTTTGTGCATTTCCACGAGGTGTCGCGGGAGGGAGTCAAGGGAGGGTCTTTGTAATATTCCCGGGTCTGCTGAGAAATTTTGGTGCGTGAAGTGAGATTAGGATTGAGCTTATTTTTGTGGATAAAGGAAGGACAGGTGTGACTGTTTCTCTCTCTCTCTCTCTCTCTTCTCTCTCTCTCTCCTCTCTCTCTCTCTCTCTCTCTCTCTCTCTCTTCTATAGTATTGTATCAACTAGGAAGGGTATAACGAAGCATAAGATCCAACTTAGCCCCCCCCCCCGAGATTTTCTCCTTCTCTCTGTGCTCTCTCTCTCTCTCTCTCTCTCTCTCTCTCTCTCTCTCTCTCTCTCTCTCTCTCTCTCTCTCTCTCTCTCTCTCTCTCTCTCTCTCTCCTTTGTATAGTATTGTATCAACTAGGAAGGGGTATAACGAAGCATAAGATCCAACTTAGCCCCCCCCCCCCCGAGATTTTCGACTTAGGTTGACCGGAAGTTGACACAATTAGCTTCTCCGTTGTTTGTGTTTCTATTTGGGTTTCTGTTTGCAGACAGACCTCCACGGAAGTTCCCAGAGGAGCAGTATGCAAGAAGGAAATATTACAAACCTCTTGCCAAAACATTTCCGACCGCGCGAAGCCTTTACATGAAAGTATGAAAGCCTTTGTTGCAAATACTTGGTAGCGATTACTAGCGTACATCCTGTAATTCCCCTTTTCCTT